CTCTAATCTCTCTTGTTTATTTTGCTGTTCGTGCTGCCACTGTTGTAGGCTTTCTTGCCAATGCTGTTGTATCTCTTCTTGCTTTTTTTTTGCTGTTCTTGTATTGCTGCCATCTAATCTGCTGAGCTGTAGTTTGATTTGCCACTTCTCGTTTCCATCTTCTTCTTTTTTTTTTCTGTCCCACTCTCTGACACCAATTTGTTGTGTATCTGCTTGTTTGTTAATTTCCGGTATAAATTCTTTCCGAGGAACTTCAGCGATACAAGTTTATTCTTTCTTAATACAACTTTGTAATACACAGAATTTCCACAGTCTCGATAATTTTTCTCTCTACGAGTACAAACACACACTTTATATTACCGTCACTACCGTTAGCTTCACTCAATTATCTATCTATCTATCTCTTCAATCGTGCTGGTTTTTCTCGCCAGGCTTATATACTAAAAAGAGGGCGTATCGAATGCACTGGAGCCTTCATGATCCTTCGAGAAACTCCAGCGCGCATGCTCCCAGCGTCGCGTGACTTCAGCTGTCGTAACAATATAATAGTGTGTTGGGCTTAGTAGAACTCTGATTATGTTAAATTATAAAAAGATTATTATCTATTTTTCGTTCATCGATAATTAATTAAGTAAAATTTATAGGTTTGGCTAGTAATCTTATGGTCTCTGAATAATTTCAAAAATATAGCAACTACCGATTTTGTAACACCAAATAGTGATTCAAATCAGAAATATTAATCAAGTGCTAAAACTCATTATGAAACCTGAAAAATAAATATTTATCAGGTACAATTAAGTTATTAAACCTTTCTATGTTTGTAAGTACTTTTTAATAATACGATTAAATTAGCAACTTACGTTTTAAATGTTTGACATCATCATTAATGGGTATATCATTAAGCTTAACTAAATTAAACTAGTTTTACATTCGCAGAGATTTAATAAATCTTAGTAAAACAAGAGTTAATTAAAACACGACCCCTAAAGATTTTTGTACAAAGGTTCAGCCAGAACTTGTTTGTTTATAGTTAAGCACAAAGCTACATAAAGGACTATCGGTGCTCTGCCCACCACGGGTATAGAAACCCGGTTTTTAGCGTTGAAAGCCCGCAGACATATCGCTGTGCCACTGTGGGTTCAGCCAGAACTATATCAATTTGTAACATTCCTCTTTCTCTCCATATGCTTGTATCTTTTATATCTGTTGTATTTTTCTCTTTCTTTAACATATTGCTGTGTATCTGCTTGTTTGTTAATTCCCGGTATAATT